AAAAAAAAAAAAAAAAGAAAAAAAGAAAAAAACTGAGATGCCGTAGCAGCGATGAGAAAGAAATTACTATGACTGCATCTCCAACTGTGATGATATCTCTCTGGATGCCAAAGAAAGAAGGGCTTGATGAATAAGTACCTATAGCAGGCTTTCCTGCGGTCCTGGCTCTGAGCCAAAGTTGGCAGTTCTGAGGAGTTCAACCAGGTTCCGTTTCCTTTATGCCAAGTCTGTGTCATCTTCCTATATTCATCTGATAGGGCCTAGAGTCCCAGTGACAAGAAAGAGACCTTTGTGCATAAATTCCAGTCAATGTGCCACCTCTGCTTCCTTCTTACTATGGATCAATAGATCTGCTTTCATAAAAGAGTACCTTGTGGCTAAGGAAGAATAGGAACCCTCTGCTGCCCACATATGCACAAGCAAACCTTTATATCTTTCCAGAGTGCGGCCCAGGCATTCGTAAATTACTAGCAGCCAGGGGATGTGCCCTCAGCCCATCCAGCAATAGGTATCATTTCAATAATTCCATGAATATATTTATGACCTTCTGTGTACCACACACTGTGGTAGGTACCAGGTGAACAGCATAATATCAGTGTATAGAACACAGTCCCAATCTCAATGACAGCCAACCAGAATCAAGGCAGTATGTGCCGTAATGGAACAAATATGGAGTGGGTATAAGAACAAATAAGAGTGCGTGCTTGGAGGAATTAAGAATCCTTCTCCAAAAAATTCACCAGTAATTCCTTCTCATAGGATTGTGAGTGTGAAAGGGTATGATGAGAAATTAGATAGAGGCTGGGGAGACAAGCAGGACCCCGATTGTTCAAGACCATCCAGTTTAGACTATATCCTTGGGATGATGGCTGCCATTAAAGGGATTTCAGCTGATTTGCATTGTTGACTTTGGCAATGCAGTGGATGTATTATTACAGCGTTTTCAGAAGCATGTTCTGAAAAACTTGGTTCCATGAGATGCTTTACCAGAAAGGCTTCTGAGCTAAGTAAGTTTAAGAGATGATCTGTACTGCATCTCTCCAAAGAGTTATTGCCACATTGAAGGTCACAAGAAATCTTGCAGCAAAGCATGTTTAACTTTGTTTAACCTAACATTGCCAAAATCCTGCTACGTCCCACAGAATAGAACACACTCTAGAAAGCTCTGTGTAGGAGACAGTGCAAACTGCAGTTCTAAATCCACTTAAATTTACAACAATTGCTTGGGCACGTAGCCTGAGTGAACGACCACACTGCCCTTGCCATCTGCTCTACCAGAATCACAAGTTCAGATCTCCCAGTCCTTCCTAACCTCAGCTGGGTATGTGAATTCTGACCTTTAAATATTGAGGAAGTAGCAACACAAAGGCAAAATCCCAAAAGGGTGAATTTGACTAGCCTTTTTCAGCATTAGTACTTTGAGTATGTTATATTAATAACTATCCCTGTGTAATAAAACCTCCTTATTAAGAGAAAAGGTCGGCCTTATTTAACTGAAAATCTTGATTTTGTAATAGCTTTGAAGCTATAGATTTTTGTTACATTTGAAGCATGCACTCGGTCTAGCCTAACAATACTGGCCTCTTGGAGCTATTTTAATGATCTCCTTTTACCTAGTGAACCAATTGTATATAGGTGACATGCTCCATGAACTAGGGGTGTTTCAAAAGTTTGTTTCCTTAAATATGTAAATACCTCTCAAAAGATTCTGTGTAGTACGTTGTTAATTCTCATTTTTATTAAGAAGGGGTTTACTAAGTCCTAGATCATGTCATAAATTTTTAGAGGAGTGTGAATTAATAGGGTTTATTTTCTTATTCATGTATTTTAATATGTATATAATGGTTTCATGGTTATTAGGGAAAAGGTTGTCTAAAGTCCATGGCAGATAACTATTTTTAAAGTCTCATTCTGTTTCATATATATTTCTACTCTTATGGTTAAATAATTTAATAAGGCATCTGGCTTGAACAATGTCTGGCTTTCATATAAGATGTTGAAGACTTCTGAAAGAAAAAATTTATGAAGTTTTAAATTTATTGAAGGCCCATAATCAGCTAAACTGTTAACCTTAGAAATAATTAACTTTGATTGGCAACAGTCATTGAAAACTTGCTCTATTCCAGATTCTGTTGTTTTCCTCCATTTCACTGGTGTAGAAACTGAGGCACAGAAAATTTAAGAAACTTCCCAAACCACACAGCTTAAAAATGGTAGAGACCCAATTTGAACCCATCTCTGGAAGAACATGTAAACAGGTTCCTAAGGTTCCTCTTCATTTTAAGGTTCTACCTTTCTACAGAACTAAAATTACTGTGTTTTGGCTGGGCACAATGGCTCACACCTGTAA